CCAAGGGTATTGAATTGAATGATAGAACTTTTATGTTTATATATGTATACATAATATATAACTAATATTTAGATGACCTTCGGATGGTTAATCGATGCCCTAAATGCACATCCCAACAAGGAAAAGGAGATAAAGCGAGCTAGCCTTCCTAAGTCCTTTAAACATTACTTATATAACTATACATACATAGGCATGCATTTGACAATATAAAAGTATAAAAGAAGTTTTGTAAAGCCTTATAAAAGTTTAAGAACTAAGAAAAGATGACTTGATGTCAGTTTGTAAAACGGTTTGAAAGAAGTTTATTTGATAAGGGCAGTTATAAGTATAAGGAAACCTTTCTTTTGAAACACAATTGTAACGGAGTTTTGAAAAGGAACACTCAGTATGTAAGACAGTTTGATAAAGAGTTTTAAACACATAAAAAACGTTTAAGAAAGTCATTTGAAGAAATTTGTTTGGTAAAACAGTTAACGTATAGTAAATCCATTTGCATGCTAGTTATTAATCACATGTGACTGATATAATAATTAGCATGATTCAACTTGTATCCCCCCATAAAGCATTTAAAAACATTTAAAAGGTTAAATAAGGGGTATGAACTCACCTGCAGTGAGCGGATCGGAAGGAAGTGTTGGAAAAGTGCTTGGTGTCAAGTGAAGACTTAGACACACACAGTGAGCCTAATAACATATGAAGACATGTGTATATAAACAATTAGTGATTATAACACTAGTTAAACATGTATAAACATCATAATTTGAGGAAAACACTTTGGTAAAAGTGTTAGGAGGCTATCGGGTTGCAACAAAGAAGTGAAAGGCCTTATAAGGGAGTTTATGGTCTAATGACCATGTTCATTGCATTTTATGGACCAGGGGAGTTTACTCTTGGCCGTAAACTCTCAATTGGTCACCAAAAAGGGGATTAAAACTCTAAGGACTTAAGTTGTTAAGTGCTCTAAAGCTTAAACAAGTGTTTGCGTGGGTTTAAGGTCCTAAAATGACCCTAACATGTGTTTACGGTCCAGGGACCACTTCCCCATGAGTTTACGGCTGTAAACTCATGGTTTCGAATTTTTGGGTGCTTAGATCAAAGATGTACAATTCTAGGTTAAGGTCCAAGGCTAGTTAAGGTTATTAGGGCACCCATTGCACCATTTGAGGGGGTTTACGGCCTAAGAAGATCTTGGGTCGTAAACCCACATTCAACCATTTAAAACTTGATGTTTAAGCTCCTTAATGCTTCAAGGGTAAGACCTAAGCTAGGTTCTAAGCATAAGGAAGGAGTTAGGAGAACTTTGGCAACCAAATTAGGGTTTACGGTCCAAGAAGATCTTGGTCCGTAAATTCCTTCTTCTTGTGAATCTTGAGTGATTTTAATGATATCTAAACATGTATTAGGCTTTAAAACACTCTAGGGTAGAAGTACTTACAATTCGGGATGAAAGATTGAGGATCCTTGGGAGAGAATCGGGTTTTTCTCTAGTTGAAAATGGAACAAATGAATAAAAATGGCTAAGGGCCATATATACCCCATGAAGTTTACGACCCCAAACTGCATGTTGGGTTCGTAAACTCCAATTTCTTGGAGTTTTGATACAACTATGATGTACAATATGCCCGAGATTATACGTCCTATGATTACCACTTGAAGGATTAATGCTCAGAATTTCTCAAACGGACACCAAACATGTTAAAAGGTAGCAGAAATGAGTTTGACTCTCTATGAAGTGTTTGACTGTACAATATAGAAAATTTTGGGTTGCCACAATATCCTTATTAGCATAACACTTATGCTCCCACTAGCTTTTACATGTATCTAGGAATCAGCTGGACTTCTAGAAATTAACACTTTATTGACTCCCTTGCCAAAGTTTAGATTTCTGATATGAGATGCTTCGATAAGTCTTTATAAGACTTCTCAAGCCCATACACTTTTTCAGATTAAATAACACATGTGTGTGTTTGAACCATTCAGAACTTAAACTAATAAGTCCCTGATGTTCAAACTATTTTCCATTTCTCACAACTCGAACTATGAAAAGGGATGTCGTAATCATAATCGAATTTGAGAATGCAACTACACAACTGCTAACTCTAATCCTTTAAAATCTACTTAGTGAAAGCATCTCCTCACCATCATTTTCATGATTTGGAGAGAAACCTTATGAGACTTAGATTTTTATAGTGTATGTGTTCCTAGCCATATGAACTTGTCAAAACCATAATCATAAGACAAGGTTAGTGACAAATCCAAGCTTATATGGAATGAACTTGTTCAATCTTAATTTCTTGCTACCCGGGAGCACAAGGGCCATTTGTATAAAAGCCCTATTTCGCACCAACATCGTCTCCAATAAAGCCCCATTGTCTCCAATAAAGCCCCAATATACCACCGACACAAGATACCACAAGATCACCACCCCTATTTCGCACCAACATCGTTGGTTACTAACACCACCATTTGTATAAAAACCCTAGAACCACCAGGCCACCCTTTTCCACCATCCATGTCCCTCCTTTCTGCCTATCTCTAACAGACCACTGCAACATCGCATTCATGGTCGACGCAGGCTACTTATGAGTTGGAATAAATTGGTAGGTAGACAGCAATGCCTCTAATAGCTCATCCATTCCCTATGTCTTTATCTCCGATGGCGATACAATGAAGCACAGGTTTGAGAAATCGGAGGAGGGATTGAGAGAATAGGAAACACTATAAATGGTTTGACTAAATCGACGTCTTATTCTCCTGTCTCAATTTGATATCTCAACTCTTCTTTTGCACTGAGTACACACATGTAGTTATCTATTTTACCCAATTTTAACACAAGTTTGATCCTTTTTTACACGAGTTAGAGCTACAAGCTCTCTAGATCTTCAGCTCTCACCAGAATACATTACGAAAACAAGCACACACACACTTCGCTCATTCTTGCTCTTCTCCGACACCATTTCAAACGAGCCAAAGAAAAACCCTAAAGTGTGAAATTGATGGTTCATCCTCAAATCAACAACTCTATCTTCTCCGTTAATTTTGACGCAGGTTTGTCTTCATCTAATTCATTGTCAATTTTGAAAAAAGCTAAAATTAATTTGTTGGTGTTTAACATTCGTAATTTCATATTGTTTGCTATAAGCAAATATTGTTCTCGTCAACTCAGCCGTGGCTGACCATTTCGAATGCACAAAAGTTAGTTTTATAGAAAAACAGAACACCCTCAAGAAACTTGAAAAACGACAATTCAATGAAAAAAAAGGTTCTCATTTGCGATAGGCATTGAAAACCCTTATTACACCTTCACAAACAGACCCTTGAGTTTTGATTTATATGAAATTTGTTACTAAACAGAGATCAACATACATTTTTTGTAGGTCATGCTCATCATTCTGATACTCAAACAGTGAGGAGATGCAGCGCATGACACACACTTTTCGAATGAATTAATAAAATGTCGACTCAGGGATTTAACAAGAACTCAGGTCCTGGTACTGGTACTGGTACTCAAAAACAATAACCTTCCTTTAGTTTCCGACCTCCTTCCCAATCACCATATACATGGTATAGTCTTCTTAAGATTTCTATCAGATTTACATTATGTATATGAGTAATCTCTTTAAGTGGATCTTAGAAGTCACTAATAGCTCTAATCTCCTTAGGTTCAATGCTTCTTCTCAAAAACCCCAAGTTAATCAAGGTTCTGCACTACAACCTATTAATCCATCACATAGCCGTAGAACTGAGTCTCCTGCCAAAAATCAAGTTCAAGATTTGAAAAGAACAAGATCACCACCTTTACTCCCTACCTATAAAGACATCCTGCAAAACTCATGAACTGTTGTAGTGAGGCAAGTTACTTTCTTTCTTTTCTTTTTCAAGATAACAATTACACTTACTATCATCATTCAGGTTATTGAACAATGAACAATATTCTTTTTGTTCACTTTCTAGGCCTTCTGTATCTCCTCCAAGATCAACTGCAAGGCGCAATCCATAAATTGATCCAGAAAATCATATTTGGTCTCCACAATATACTGATCTTGATAAACCTGAAACACCTGCAATCAATCCAAATTATATACCTGTTCCAAAACGGAGCAAATTACCTTTTACACCATCAAATGATCTTGTTCTTGATGACAGTGAAAGGTAACTTATTGAGCTAAACATACATATAAGGACTTTTCTATTTCTTACATACTCTACTACAGAGAATTGCAAGCTAAAGCGAAAAGATTGGCCCGATTTAGAGACGAAAAGATATGTGTCCAGGTATCTTTTTGTTCAAGGAAATACCATTTGAGTCCCTTGAGGCCTTGAATTTAATTTTTGTTTTTTTATTTTTATATAGAGCAAGAAAGAGTAGAGAGAGAGAGAGAGGAAAAGAGATCTTGATCAATATGAACATTTGGATGGAGATAGAAATCAGACAACTGAATCTCTTGCATTTAAGAAGGTAAGGGGATGTTTGGAATTCTGTTTTATTTAGGGGAGCTGATATTGCCACTTTAATTTTTGATGGAAAAAAATATAAATTGTCAATTATGCTCCTATTTATTTAAAAGAGAGAAATATCAATCTTTTTTCCGAAAAACCCCATGATCTTGGCCTGGTTGTTTCCCTCGTAAGTCATAAATATGATGTGGGTATTCAATCATTTGTAAAAGTAGAAATTCGTATCATAATCAAAATTAAAAAATGGATAACACAGATGAATCCGAAACTCAAAAAAGGTTGATACTATCGACGATGAATTGGTTATTGGTTTGCTAGATGTGCGTTTTGTGAAAAAAAAATAGGATTGCTTTCTTTTAATAAAATAAGGGCATAGTTTTCAATTCACAGTTTATTTAAGTGGAAGGATTAAAAGTTGCAGTGGCAACATCACCACCCTTTATTTATATTTCTTGATTGTAATATGTATAATTAAAATTTTTATTTTTACTTATTTCAAGTACACTAGGATAGCTGAGAGGGAAGCTGCACTGATAAGACCAATGGTAATCCTGCAAAAGACAATGGAGTATCTTTTAAACTTGTTGGATCAATCCTATGATGATCGATTTCTTGGTTTATACAACTTTTTATGGGATAGAATGAGGGCAAGGGATTTTTTTATATCAATTGCATCTCAAATGTCAAGGCCAAATCTAGGTTCAGATGAACGAGTTGTTCAGTTACCTGTTCAGGTTTCAATTTAAAAAAAATAATAAATTGCTAATTCTTGTTATATATGAAAATTGAATTATTTATATTATGGTTGTACAGGTTTTAACGCTACAAGCTTCACTATAGTGCTTTCTATTATAAGGAAAATAAGGTAACTCATTTATCTCTTTCTCCCCCTTATCATATCATGATAATACTTTAATTAAAAATGAAAAGAACTCAAGGTTAACTCATTTATATGTTTAATTACCTTTTTTCCCTTGCTATTTCTTTCAAAATGATCTTCTTTTACCCTTCAAATCCTTGGTGCTGAAAAAGCCCTTTTCAGGTCAAATATCATAATCCACAACCACTAAAACAAATATATATTAATGTTGATCTTGTACTGATTTTAATGTTGATGGTGTAATGGTTGATTGCTAGTGGAGTACATTTGAAGCACATGTTCCACAGGAGTATAATTAGAAGGGATATAAACGGCTATTTTAATATGGACTGGCTCTTGTCCAAAAGACCTAAACGCCCTCCCCCAAAAAAAGCTTAGCCTAATTGGAGTGTTATAAAGATATAAAAATGTAGCAACAGATAAGGTTGTATAGTTTTAATATTATTAGGAATGTGCAGATATGTTGGGCATTTTCTATCTATTTGGAAGCTGTTGTTATTCTCCCACAGTTGGTTCTGCTGCAGCGAAGTGGAAATGTTGACAATTTGACCGGTCAATATGTTTTCTTTCTTGGGTATTCTCCCTTCTATATTTTGCATTGTATTGTTAGCGCATACCGTGCATTGTATATTCTCAACTGGATTTTTTGGTATCTCACACAGTCCCATTTCAATGGATGGATATGCAAGTTAAAGCTTTTCTCTTATTCTTATTGTCTATACATGTATTTCATTTGACTTTTGTTTTGTTTGTTTTCAGCCTAGTTCTCTGGCTTAATACAAACAGCTGTTTATGCTGATTTCTTCTTCTATTACTTCATAAGGTACTCAACCTCCATTCCCATTCTTTATGTTCTGTCTTTTACTTTAAGCATAATCATAATAACACATGATTTATAAGGAAAGGCATTTACGTCTTTACTCTTCGCCTGGCCTATTATCAAGTTTTACTTTCAAAAAGGCTTCTAATGGGTTGCCTCATCTCTAGTTTAGCAGCAATTTGTTGCCTTGACCTCAGCAGGTATTCCATATGCAGAATGAATTAGTTAATATTCGAATACATTACAAAAGAAATATTACATATAAATTTCTTATTTTTGTTTGAATTCATGGATTTATGTCACTGGTAAGAGTTATGGTACCATGTTAGACATTTTAGTCCAGTAAGTGGTTAATAATTTTAAAAAACAAAATCCCCCTAAATGTATCAATTTATATTAAGGCTAATTTAATTTATTATTTAAAAAACAAACATCAATTTATTTGCTTTGCTCTTATTGCCCCTGATCAATACGGATTCCCATAACAACATCGTCAAAGATAAGGTTATGATTTAAATCTTATTATATTATACCCCTCACATTTTCCCAAATTACCCCTTCCTCTACAATGTTTTTTTGTTTCTATGTATTTTGTGCATCAGGTAAAGTTGATGGAAGAAAGGAATATGAAGCCACTTGATTTAAATCTTGCAGCATTATCAGCAAGATGCAGTAAAGACTTGGAGTTGAATTTGGCTAAGTCATTATTGTGTGAGATGGGCCAATGTACAACTGCTTATCCATATAATCAGTTGTTTGGAGCATTAGTCTCTAAGAATTATGAAATGCAAGAAGCAAATTTACTTAGTTGGAATTTGATGTACATAGTAGATTAGATGCAAATTTATATATTGTAAGAAATAGAATTGTATGACATTAAACTTATGAAATGGATTTTATTTTTTGTATATGATATTTTATTTTCTATTATGAAACATTAAATCCAAATTTAATTTGAAAATAAGTAAATCTATAAATAATATTTTTTTTAAACATTTAAAAATATGATACGCAAAAATGTGTGTCATCTTCATTTATGACATGGCCTTTCTTGACAGTGGATTTCTTGATACGCATTGCGTGTCATTAACATGCGTGTCGTTTTCCTTTATGACAGGGCCTTCCTTGATACGCATTGCGTGTCGTAAACGCGCGTCGTAAATGCGCTTCGTCTCTCTTTATGACAGGGCCTTCCTATACGTGCATTTGCGCGTCGTCTGAGCCTTTTACGACGCGCAATGAGCGTCGATAAAGGCTGTTTTTCTAGTAGTGACTCTTGATTACTTCTCGAACCTGTTTTCAAGATCTATAAGACTCTCAGTGACCGCTTGACATATAAGATTCTCTATGTCAAGAACCATTTCTTAACAAACAAATATTCAAGAGTTAGTGTGGATTCTTATCAAGATGAACACTTCACACATTTGTTCTTAGGTGGTCTCCATTTTTATCAAAAAAAAAAAAATATCACAACTTACCAATTTCAAATGTACAAGAGTAAGAAAACATTTTACTCTACATTTGACAAATGTTATAAACCTTTTAAAGATTATGTCACTCAATTTACAATCTTGGAGTATAACTCTAGGACTTATTGTAGGAACGAAGTATGACTCATCTTTTGATTTAACCATTTCAACAATTCACAATTCCTCTTCTTAGTCAAACAAATGCACTAAGATGTCCTTAGAGGATCAATTGTTATATGGTTTTTCATAATCATTAAGATGATCATAAAACATGATACTGAAGTACTCTCCCTTCTTTTCAGATTGGAGAAACTTCTATCTTTCTGCCTACTTTGATTCTTATCATTCGTCCTGCCATATATCGAAACTTTTCCAATGTTTCAAAATTATACTTAAACTTGTAAGCACAACCATATTTACTACGCTTTGGTAAAGCATGACAACTAGTCTTATCGTTCTTTGTGGTGAACCTGATTAGCGCACAACCAAGTGTACCTGATCTCCTGTCCTTCACTTGACTCACACATACATGTGAATAAGGAATAAGTATTAATTTCCCAAAGATGGAAAATTCTCATTCATCATACAATACAAGTTGCATGATTCCAAGTTTCTATCCAACTGAAACTTGGGTGATGAGAAGCTTTCCTTATTTGGTAAATTATGACACTACCAAAAGCGAAAGAATCAAATCTATTTTCCAATATTGCTATCAATAGAATCATATAAACAACAATTTTTCACAAATGCTATTTTAAGGAAACTTAAAATAAAAATAAAAAACTTTCCCTTTATTTAAAAATTTTCCGTAAAAACTTTCATTACAATGCAATTACAAATGAAAAACATGTTGTTATCTATTCCTAAGCAATTTATCATGACTCTTAAGCATCAGCTAAAAATTCTGTTCATTGAACCATGCGATTATAATCCATCTCTTTACGATCGAAACCAACTTACTCTTCCTTTAAGCTTCCTTTCTTTTCTTCGATTCAGAGCTAATCTTCGTGTTTTGGTTGATATGTCAAATCTAGGGTTTCTTCTTGCCTTATTTGACTTGTATTTGAAGTATGAAAGGTCCCATGGAGATATGGAACCTAGATCTGTACCTTAGCAGGTCTAGAAGGCCCTAAATGATATGCTTTATGTCCATTCTTTTGAGTTGGAGACTAGGGTGGCCATATTAGAGGTTATTTCCCCAAAAAGAGCCTTGTAAGTGTTGCATGGCGGCCAAGACTGAGACTTTACGTGATAAATGAACTTGGGAAGGCCAGATCTATGTGTGTATGGAACGGATCTGACCGCAGAAGCAAGTTTTAGCTGATGCATGGCATGGACTCGCCGAGTCTGAAGAACAGACTCGACGAGTACCTGTAAGATTGTCCTTAAAACCACCCAGTGAGTAGTCCTGCAGAGTTGTGGGTGACTCAGTGAGTCACAGAGAGTTAGAGAGATATTGACAGGTGGACCGAGTCGAGTTGGGACTCGCCGAGTTGTCCTTGCGACTCGGTGAGTTGAGTCGTGGTGGCCCCATGATTCATGACCAGGTGGAACTCGTCGAGTTAGGGGAGTACTCGACGTGTCAAAGGGAAAATCCTTGCAAGTTGGTGAAAATGTGTAGACTCGCCGAGTCTCTCTAGTGCACTCGCCGAGTCCGATCAAATTGACCAATGACTGTGGACCAAAGTTGTCCAGTGTTGACTTGATAGGGATGGTCAACCTTAGTGGTCCAAGTATTAATTATAGATATATGATGTTATAGGAGGATTATAGCTCGGGGGTTCGAGCACGAGTGATTTCCAGCATTCACGAGTTATCGAGATATACGAGGTGAGTCTTCTCACTATACTGTACCTGGAAGGGTTTAACTGTGTGACCGGAAGGTCGAATATGATATGAGATATATGAATCATTTGTGATAAGTTAATCGTTATATGTGCCATGTATGATATGCTTGATATGGGCCGGAAGGAATTATGTTATGGGCCGGAAGGCGTTGTAAAATGGACCGTAAGGTTGTCGTGGGTAGGACCGGAAGGTTTGCCCAGATGGGACGGAAGTCCCCTGAGACACATGGACCGGAAGGTCAAGGCTTGGAAGGGCGTATGTGCGTAGATTGTATTTTGGGGAACTCACTAAGCATTTATGCTTACAGTTGTTGTGTTATGTGATTCAGGTACTAGCGAGGACCGTGACAAGGCGCCGGCATGATCGTACACACACTCGGGGAAAACTATTTTGTGATCTTTGTTATGTAATCGGTCGTGACAATATTGTTTACATTGGAACTTAAATAATTACTCGATGTTTTGATGTTTGTAAAAATGAAAAAAAAATTGGTTTAAAATTTCCGTCGTTACAAGTTGGTATCAGAGCCTTGGTTTGAGGGATTCGGGTACACCTTCGGGCGTAACTAAACGCAAACCGGGGATTGGAGAAAATTTTAATTAATAAATCAATAAAATTTGATAAGTGATTTTGAAGCAACCAAAGAAGGAGTGTGTACGGTCAGCCAGCGCCCGAACGGTAAAATCCCCAAAATACTCTTACAATATGTGTTATGAGATATGATATGATATGATACGCATGCTAGTAGACTAGGTATTCATATTAGGACTAGAGTGGCCTGATTTTGTGATGCCTTAGTCTAGGGAAACCTGCTTCTGTGAGGTGCTTTGAGAGTAAGGGGGTATCTAGTGCATGGCAAGAATAGAGTACTCAGGATTCGGGGCTTGGGGAGGAGGACTTGGGGTGAATACTGACGCGGTGTAGTTGGTAGTATTGGGCCCGTACTACTAAAGACACTGGGTCAGTGGGCAACCCAAGTAAGAATCCCTGGGTATCGGAGACTGAGTAGGACTCGTTATCGAGTGCGATTATGCCCGATAGAGTCTCTGATATTTTTATGTTGTATTTCAGAGACATCATGGTTGGACCACGCCACAGACCTGGTACGAGTAGTCTGACTGACGAGGAGCTTCGTCAGATGATTCATGAGGAGGTAGCTGCAGCGATCTGGGCTGAGATTCCGGAGATGTTTGGGTCTATTAAGACCACGTTGATGGAGACATTTGATGAGCGGTACGCCGTATTGATTGAGGCCACAACCGCTGCAGCTACCGCAGCTGTGGCCGCTGCTAGACCACAGGGAGCTGACTCGTTGCTGTTCCGGGAGTTCAGCAACACGAAGCCACCTGAGTTTGACGGGATGCAGGATCCGATCGTTGCGATGAGATGGATTGTTGATATCGAGGGGTGCTTCTACAGTTGTTCATGTCTGGAGCATCTGAGGGTACGGTTTGCCTTGAACCAGCTCCATCTGGGAGCAAAGGATTGGTGGAAGTTCGTGACGGCGAACTTCACTCTGGCAGAGGTTTCAGTTGTGACTTGGGAGAGGTTTACTACTATGTTCAGAGATGAGTACGTTCCCCAGGTGGAGAGGGAACGGTTGGTTCAGGAGTTCTTGACCCTCAAGCAGGGTAATGATTCTGTCACGGTGATCACGCGGAAGTTTCATGAGAGGGCGATGTTCTGCCCCGAGCAGGTGTCCACGGAGCAGGCTAGGATGAGTCGGTATTTGGGAGTGCTGAGGAGGGATATCCGGGAGTTCGTATCGAACTCGTCATATCAGACTTTTGCTGAGCTTCAGGCGAATGCTAGGAAGCATGAGATCGAGTTGGAGACCCAGGCCAGGGAGGAGGCCGAGTCTCAACGTGTGGATCGGCTGCCGGCTCAGTCTCAGCTGGCAGCCAAGCGGACCAAGTCCGTTGATTCGAGATCCGGAGGTCAGAAGGGCCGCACTTGCGGAAAGTGCGGCAAGGGTCACGAGGGGGCATGGCGACCGGGTGCTTGCTACAAGTGTGGCAAGGAGGGGCACATTGCCAGGGATTGCCCTATGGGATTCATGGTTTGCTTTCATTGCAACCAGATCGGCCATCGGAAGGCCGAGTGCCCCCAGCTCCGCCAGGGATCTATGCCTGCTGCCAGGATTACCGAGATTCGGCCAGTGAAGGCCGAGGCTTCGAAGGCTCGTGGGAGAGCTTTCCAGTTGACTACGGAGGAGGTCCGCGCGGCGCCTGATGTCGTAGCCGGTATGTATTCTTTCATGTATTTACCTTTATACTAAGATGTTTGTGCTTATATTATGATATGCGTAGGTACTTTTATTGTGAATTCTGTGCCTGCTTTGGTATTATTTGACTCGGGTGTGAGTCAGTCTTTTGTATCGTTGGCCTTTAGCCAACACATCGGTATTGATCGGGAGATGACGAGACGACCCCTGCGAGTTTCTATAGCAAATGAGAAAGTGGTATACGCCACTGAGGTGATTCGAGGATGCGTGCTCGAGATTTTTGGGGTCGAGTTCC